ATTTTTCAGATGTGCTCGTATCAAACTACTGTATCAATATAAACGTTAGTGCCTCATTCCATATAATTTCAAAAAATATATCGATATATCATACAAACTCGATATACCGCCCAGCCCTACATATTTGTAATGGAGGTCAATGTTATCAAAGTTACAGTTCTCATTCTAACTCCTTTCAGAGTGGATGAGCAGAAAGGACTGGTGATAGGGAAAACTTATCAGAACAAGAAGCAGGCCAGGGTTTTTATGCACTACATTGCTGAGGTGTCGAGGAGGCAGCTTAAAAATAAGATTGATCATTCAAAGTATCTGGCAATTATGTCAGATGTATCAACTGACAGTGCAGTGTTGGAGGAAGAGCTTCTGTACACCAGAATGAGCCAAGCAGGGAAAGTCGAGGTGCAGTTTGTTGGAATCCAGGCTGTTGAAAAGCCAAATGCAGAGAACATCACAGCAGTCATCATACGGATGATGAGAGAGGTGTGTGAGGATGATGAGAGTTGGCAGGAGAAACTAGTTGCTTGTGCAACAGATGGAGCAGCAGTGATGACAGGGTCCAGAAGTGGAGTGGTCAGCAGACTACGTGGCGACAAGTCCTATATTGTGGGTGTCCATTGCATAGCCCATAGGCTGGAGCTGACATTTAAGGATGCAGTGAAGAGTTGCCCCCAGTGCATAAAGTTGGATGACCTCTTGTCTTCCCTCTATGTGTTCTATCACAAGAGTCCACTCAACAGAGCAAACTTGAAAAACAGCTTCAAGGTGTTAGGAATAAAGCCACTCATTCCAACTAGAATTGGAGGTACCAGGTGGCTTGCTCATCTCTTCAGGGCACTGGACCACTTCCTCAGAGGCTATAGGGGCCTAATCCATCATTTTGAGCAGGTACAGTAGTATAGGCTAAGGCAAGGTGATCATTTTAGTTTAAATTAGTTGACTAAAGTTAACAACTCAACATAATGGTACTAATAATCAATAATTTAATAGTTGAACATAATTGATTCAAATGTACAATTGTGTGTGTAAGATCCAGTCACCAGATTCGGAGGGGGTGAATCCTGTGCAGAGGAGTAAGGCACGCAACTTTTACCAAACAGCAAAGGATCCATGTGTTGTGATGTTCAGCTGCTTTATGCACGACTGCCTGACCCACCTCAGCAACCTGTCTGCATCCATGCAACGGCCAACTCTAACAGTGGCAGAGGTTCAGACCAGCCTTATAGCCACACAGGCTGCCAGAACAGGTGTGTGTGTGTGTGTGTGTGTAGGGCAGAATATTTTGAAATATAATTAACATTGTTTTGTTGTGTATTCAATTATAAGACCTGGACCCAGGCTTAGGGCATGCCTAGAAAATCCAGCGGACACCTTTGAGGGTGTAACCTTGGCAGCACCCAGAGATGACCTCTCCCTGGCTCTTGTAAACTCCACAAAGGACAAGCTGATAGACAAATTTTGCAGCAGTATGGCGACACGATTTTGTGACTTCAGCTCTGGAGTACTACATGCTTCCAAACTGGTGGATATCACAAGCTGGCCTGATGCAGACAGATGTGAAGGTTATTATCAAGCACAATGTTAGCACATTTAACATGATATGTATTTTACATCTTGAAGTTGAAACCTTTTACTGTTTGTGCAACCTTAAGTTTTCCTTGTGTGTGTCTGCAGATTTTGGAGATGCAGATGTGGAGTGTCTTATAAAGCACTTTGGTCCACTATTGGCCTCCTCTGGGGCCAATTTGGATCTGATTCCAGACCAGTGGACATTCCTCAAGAGCAGTTTGTACCAGCAGCATCCGAACATGAACCAGCTGACCTGGCCAGAGATAAATCGGAGACTGGGAGGCCAGTGCCATGATTTCCTTCAGCTTGTCGATGTGTTACTGTGTATTCCAGCCTCCACAGCAGACTGTGAACGGGGTTTCAATTTGATGAAACAAGTGAAGAGTGACTGGAGGTCAGGTCTGAGGTCGGACACACTATCTGACCTGCTCACAGTGCAGCTGTCCAGCACTGACATTGAAGACTTTGATCCTGACTCAGCCATACAGCTGTGGCATCAGGCCAGCGTCAGAGCGAGGAGGCCAGATTTCATGGAAAGAGGAGCCAAGAAGAGAAAGACTCAACTTGAAGACGAGGAGACGTCTGAGGAGGAAGATGATGATGACTCTGAAGAAGACTAAAGTGACACTGAAGAAGACTAAAGTGACACTGAAGAAGACTAAAGTGACACTTTAATGCTATGTTACTGAGAGATGAGTCAAAATTATTTGTTTTGTTCATGAAACATGTAGGCCTTTGTATTTGCCTATATTAATAAAATGTATTAATAATAAATAAATAAAAACGTATTGAAGCAATTTCTTTCTTGCAATTTGAATTCCGGAAAAAGTGGCTGGTAAAAAATATAAGTGGCTGGTAAAATTGGGCATCCACCAGCCACTGTGTGTTAATTTCCCACCCTGGTACAAATGTTCGGGGAAAACTTGATCAAATAGGGTAACATCCACTTAATTGCAATGTATGAGGGCTGGTTGTGACAATTTGATAACTTACAAGTGTGATTTCTAAAAGTGTTGTGTGGGTTACTGTGGTAAAACTGCTGTAAATACTTCTGTGAATGCAATATTTGAGTCTAACATGTTTATTCAGTGTGTCAGATCAAAATGTCCCATTGGGTTATGTGTAGAAGTTAATTGGTTTGGTTAAATGTTGTGTGCAAAGCTCACTCTGAACTCGCGCTTGGCGCGCTTGATGGTCACGTGATCAGCTCATGCAGAAGTGTGTAATACATGAATATCAGTCACATGACCTCTTACGTCATCCGTTCTTTTTCCAGTTGACTGCCGCCATCTTGAGTACCTGCCGAGTACTGTCTACAATACTGACGGCATTAGCTAGGAAGCAGATTTTCTCTGTTTGTTTCACTTTATACATAACCAACTTTGTTTATGTAAACCCTGTGTGTATTTGACAGTATTCGCGCAATAAGACTAGAAAGATAACTTAGTTCAGTAACCTGTCGCTGTTGTTAGACAGGCTTAGTGCGCGTGCGCTTCGGGTGTACGCGCTCAGAAAAGCGCTCGTTAGAACCGCGCATCAACACGTGAATGACTTGTTAGCACATGCAAATAATGAACTTATGTGAACTGCATTGTCCCGTTCCTCTGCGTTAACATTTGATGTGAATATACGTCGCGCTGTAGCCTATGCTGAGACGGAGGCGCCAGAACTGCAACTGATAGAATGCACGATACTACGACATTTCTTCAAAAGCAGATTGTGGATATATTTTAATCCACGATCATAAATCGTGATATCGCACACCCCTAAGCTAGCGTAAGCTCATTATCATTTACATCCACTCACCACAGACAAAATGAACACTGCACAGAGAGTTTGCACACACAAACCACTGTTATAACATAAAAGCAAGCAGCTAACGTTACTGCGTGCATGGTTGGGCATGATATGATTGAAGGATTTTGACTGAATGCGCGCAAAGTGCGCTCCCTTAATAATTCCTAAAAAGCTGACATCAGTTAATCGCGATCTCACATCTCTGTTATTAATATCAATTAAGCTGACTGCACAATGAATCTTTCATAATATATACACTTTGTTTGTTACAATTAGAGGATTTGTCAGCATACAGAGCTCTGAACAAAAAGTCCGTTTTGAGCATAGAGGTTTTGAGCAGTGAGGGGAGTCTATCTTAAATGCTTCTGATTGGCCTTTGCATTGAAGAAATCAACACGTATGTCTGTGATTGGCTACATCGCTCAACGCTGCAAACGTGTTTTAAAGGGATAGTTCACCCAAAAATGAAAATTAAGTCATTAATTACTCACCCTCATGTTGTTCCAACCCCGTAAGACCTTCGTTCATCTTCGGAACATAAATGAAGATATTTTTGATTAAATTTGAGAGCTGGATCACTGCTACATAGGCTTCCTAAGGTAGTGAAACTTGACGGCCCAGAAAGTCATTGAAGAAAATGTTTATAGTCCAAGTGACTACAGTGGCTCAACTATAAGTTTATCAAGCGACGAGAATACTTTTTGTGCGGAAAAACAAATAACGACTTTATTCGACTATTCCTTTTCTTCCTTGTGGGCCTGAGACGAGAGTTCAAGAGATTTCCACGACGCATGCGCGAGAACTGAGAAGAGGACGTTCTTCTTCTACTACTTCTTGTTCAGTTCTCGCGCATGCGTCGTGGAAATCTCTTGAACTCTTGTCTCAGGCCCACAAGGAAGAAAAGGAATAGTTGAATAAAGTCGTTATTTTTGGGGGGTTTTCCGCACAAAAAGTATTCTCGTCGCTTGATAAACTTATAGTTGAGCCACTGTAGTCACATGGAATATTTAAACATTTTCTTCAATGACTTTCTGGGCCGTCAAGTTTCACTCCCTTAGGAAGCATATGTAGCAGTGATCCAGCTCTCAAATTTAATCAAAAATATCTTCACTTGTGTTCCGAAGATGAACGAAGGTCTTAAGGGGTTAGAACAACATGAGGGTGAGTAATTAATGACTTAATTTTCATTTTTGGGTGAACTATCCCTTTAAAGGGAAACTCTGGCCTGTAAATCGTTTCTATTTTGTTTTAGTTCTTGTTGCTTTTTTGCAAAAATGTATTAGTTTTTATGTTTTATTCATAGATATTTCTAGTTTGCGGGAGTCTCGCGAATCGTTTTATTCTCCCTGCAACGCGCACACACACAGAGAGTGCATTGCCGCTCGCACTCGGCCATCAAATCTAGTCCCGCGCCGCACTCTTTTGCATTGGGAGTGCACGTCTCTAGATCAAGGGCCCGGCCCGAGGATAGTGACGGGAAATATCGGCCCGCAAGTTCGGGCTCGGCCAGAGAATAAGCTCTAGTTCCTTTGCGACTGACGTATCGATCTTGCCGAATCAGGAACTCAAGATGGCGGAAGACAAGTTTTAGAATTGAGTGACGTCAGTGAGGAGACGTTGGTGACATCATCTGATATTCATGTATAGAGCATCACAGTCCCGCCCACAGCCAGTGCCGGAAGTAAAAATTCAATACAATTTCTCCATTGACAGTTGGGGTATAAGTAGGGGTGGGCGGTATGACCAAAATTCTATTTCACATTTCACGATATAGTTATTTATATATGTAGCTATTCTCGAAAAATAGACAAAAAGGGCTTTGTATAATAAATAAACCCAAATACTTTACAAATGAAAAGTACTTCACATTGTTTTCTTTTTCTCTTATTTGGTAAATTATTTCTTTGGTAAATTATTTCTTTGGTAAACTATTTTGATAGCTAAATATAAACAAAACACACTTATCAACTTTTAGATGAACTTCCCCCAACTGATTGATATTAAATACTACTCATAGGTGCAATTAAACTTTAAATAAAGTGTTGCTGAATAATTTTTCAATCTCATGTTATGCTTTACTTCATCAATCAGTTTATAATATCTGAATATTTTATATTGAACTATTCTATTCATAATAAATTAGTTACTTCCTTTTAATTTTCTAGTATAGTAATACTAGTTATGTTTAAATGTGTTCCCCGGTACATTTTTGCCCTGTCTGCTTATACACTGCGTTTTTAAGGAGCTTGTTTTGCTCTTTTTGTGATATCTGGCAACTCGTCACCTGCAGCTTTAATCAAGAGAAGTTCAAGTTCAGAAGTGACTAGAAGGAGAGCAGCAGTATGAAAACCGAACAGCAGCGACTGTTAATGGTGACTAAGTAGCCTAGTTTAAATTATACACACCTTGTAACTATGTCGTTTTTTTTTTTTTCATAGCCTGGTAAACACTGACACACCGCGCTCCCTCTCAGTGCGTGCACGCGCGCGTCTTTTGCATCAGTAAAATGCGATCGGTTAATTTGAGTGTCAATTTGTAATCAGTATCGAATCAAAGGAAGATTTTATCAGCTGGTTAAGTGGCCAATTGTTTGGAGTTAGAAATATATAACTCGCGCTGCATATTTATTAATTTTGCCTCAGATACAGGATAATACATTCGCCTTAACAAGCAGGTTGTTCATTACCACGGCAAACTGTTTGCGTGTCATGCTGCGATTTTCGTGTTTAAAACTGTACATAAGAGACGGAATGATGCAGATAACATTATTTAAGGTTATTTCTATTCGTTACGATATTGATATATGAACTGTCATTGTCAATTAATGTTTTCCCCGTTGCGAGCGTGCACTCTAAACTGTAGTGGTGCTGCACTGCTCTAGTTAACTGCTGCGCCTTTCCCCCGAAAATATCACGTTAACAACAACAACCCTTTAGAAAACGTAATTCCTTTTTGGATCCTCTTGATCTGCTTTCTCCATGTTTCTTTGACAATTCTCAGTGTTTCAGTCTCACGCACGCTGCACGCGAGTTAACCACGCCCACTTATTTGCACGTCGCGGTATACACGTAATAAAAAAATCTGTTACGGTTGACATTTTCTACCGCAGTAACGATATATACCGCCATACCGTCCAGCCCTAGGTATAAGCCATAAAAACGTAACCATACATGGAAGACTTAAAACCAGCTACGGCTGTACTAAGCGTTTATGCTCATATAAACGCCAAAAGTTCATGGGGCACTAACCTTGTTTTAAGATAAATGCCTTTTATTCGCGATGTATTGGATAAGTACTTCATTACCCACAATCCTGAACAATCCCACAATCCCACAGTGATGCATCTGATTGGTGGAAGTCGTGTAACGTGTCTGGTTAAACCCCGCGAAGGTCCGTGAAGACTGAAGATCGCGTAATGACGTAGGTCTAGTTATTATTATTTGCTTTTATTTGAGCATCTAGTATCCACAAAGTTCTATCTAGTAACAAGGGTCAGCATAGTAGGCCAAACTAAAGAAGGATACATGCGCAATAAATATGTAAGAAAATAAATAAAAAATAAATAAAAACGTGAATATGATGCTCAAAAGGAGTAGGCAGAAGCTTAAGCTTATTCACGCCTACCCCCTTTTATACATTTGTGCAGTAGTTACATTACTACAATCAAGAAAACAATTGATACATATTTATGTTGGGCTTTTCCAATGCCCATACAATCAACAAAATTAACTCACAACCATTCTGATGATTCCAAGAAAAGAAAAGAAGAATCGTCAATTAATACCCTTTCCACATTTAAGGATATTCTTCCGTCCTGTACTTAGACAGTATGACTTGTTTATACTTGGATTTGAACTGATAAATGAATGGGCACTGCTTGAGTTGGGCGCTCAGGTTATTCCAGAGCCTGACGCCACACACAGACACACACATACTTTTCCTCGTAGTTCTGAAAGCTGGTACTTTAGTTGGCCATAACCTCTCAAACATCTCTTTTTTTGAATAATTATTGAATATTTGCTGGTAGTACGAACCGATTCGCTTTATACATTAATTGTACAGTATAAAAATCAATTAAATCCATGAATTTGAGCATGTTACTTCGTAAAAACAATATATTTGTGTGTTCGAGGTATCCTACCTTATGAATAACTCTGATTGCTCGTTTTTGAAGTATTACAAGGGAATGAAGGGAACTTTTATAATTATTACCCCCGACCTCAATTCCATAAGTTAAGTATGGTAAAATAAGACTGGAATACAATATATACAGCGCCTTGTAATTTAAAACGTACTTAGCTTTGTTTATAATTGCAATATTTTTTGATATCTTCCTTTGTATGTGTCCAATGTGTGATTTCCAGCTCAGTTTGTTGTCTATCGTGATTCCCAAGAATTTGATTTCTGTTACTTTTTCTATTTTAATACCATTTATATTTATCAGTAGTTCAGGATTTTCCTTACAATTGCTAAACATGATCATTTTTGATTTATTTAGATTGAGTGATAATTTGTTTAAATCCAGCCATGTTTTAAATTTAGCTAATTCCTGATTTACATCCTTTATAAGTCTATTATAGTTATCATTAGAATAAAATATGTTGGTATCGTCAGCAAATAACACAATTTTTAACAAATCTGATACTTTAAATATATCATTAATATATAAATTGAATAGTAAGGGAGCCAGTATAGACCCTTGAAGCAGCCCACAAACAATGCTCATACATTTTGATTCAGTGTCCCCCATTTTAACAAATTGTTGTCTCTCATCTAAATAACCTTTAATCCAGTTCCCAGCTACTCCCCGAATACCATATTTTTCTAATTTATGTACAAGAATAGCATGATTGATGGTATCGAATGCTTTCCTTAGATCTATAAAAATTCCAACAGCGTGTTTTTTGCAGTCTACACCACTGGTGATTTCTTCCACAGCATCAATAATAGCCATAGTGGTCGATCTTTTGGGTATATTGCCCTTCGTTAATTAACTCATGCTTCGCAATAAATGTATCCAGTCTGCTATAGAATGTTTTCTCCAATATTTTTGAGAACTGTGGCAGCAGAGAGACAGGCCTATAATTTGTAAATATGTTTACTTCCATTTTTAAATAGTGGTAACACTTTGGCTATTTTCATTTTGTCTGGAAAAGTTCCAGTTTGGAGTGAAGCATTACATATGTGTGTTAAGGGTTTCACAATATTATCAATTATTCTTTTTATTAATCTCATATTAATGTCCAAATAGTCCATAGATGATTTATTTTTACATTTATACACAATAGTTTTGATTTCAGTCTCGCTCACATCAGAGAGAAAGATGGTTTGAGGGTTCCTTTCTATAGCTGAATCCACCATTATGTCATTACTACTTTCTGGGATTTTGGCCGCTAATTCAGGACCAACATTTATAAAGAAATCATTGAACTTATTGACAATGTTTTTCATATTGTAGTTTTCAGTGTCATTATCTATAAAATAATCAGGATATGAGTTGATTTTACAATTGTCTCTTAGCAATTTATTCAGTATACTCCAAATTCCTTTAATATTACTTTTGTTCTCATTTAATTTATTAGTTTAATTATACTAATTTAATTATACTAATTCATAGTATAATTTCTTGCTGTTTCGAACAATGGTTATCAGTTTGTTCTTGTATACTTTATACCGTTCTTCAGATTCTTTTGTTTTTTGAATCATAAATTGTTTATATAAATTATTTTTCTTTTTACATGCATTAAGTAGTCCTTGAGTTAACCATGGACACTTTAGTATTTGTTTCTCCCTCCTATATTGCCGCACAGGGCAGTGTTTGTTATATAATGTACAAAATATTTCCAGGTAAGTATTGTAGGCCCTGTTCACATCATTCTCCACAAGCACTTTGGTCCAGTCCTGGTTTGCTAGCTCACAATTAAGAGCGTCAATAGACTTTTCGGTTAGTACCCTTTTATATGTATTTTTTTGAGATTCGTTGTTTTTTTCATAATTGTCATTGTACAATGCAAATATAGGAAGATGATCAGTTATGTCAGCTATCATGAGTCCACTTACTTTGGTTTGTTCTATAGCATTTGTAAAGATATTGTCAATGAGTGTTGCACTATGAGGGGTAATTCTACTAGGTCTGGAGATAGATGGGAAGAGGCTCATACTATACAAAGCATTCACAAATTCATCAGTGGCATAATGGGTGTCATGATTCATCAGATCAATATTGTAATCACCACAAATGAATAATGTTTTATTTATGGTGTAGAATGTTCTCTCCATCCATTCCGTAAATAATTCAATGCTAGACCCAGGTGATCGATAAATACAACTAATTATAATATTTTTTTTCTTTTCGCAAATTATTTCAATTGTTACACATTCAAGTAAGTTATCAACTGATACTGCCATCTTTTCAATCATCCTAAATTTTATTTTATTGCTTACATATATAGCTACCCCACCACCTACTTTGTTTTTCCTGTTCACATAATTTAGGGCGTAACCTTCCAATTCAAAATTGTCAATACCTTTTCTTTCGTTAAACCATGTTTCTGATATTGCTACTATATTAAATGGAGTAATAAATTGTTGCAAATACTCTTTGATACTACTGAAGTTTGTATACATGCTTCTGCTATTAAAGTGAATTATTGATAATTTTCCTTTGGTGTTAACAGCATTGAAATCATTTTCAGTATAGTAGCGGCAGTCAATGTTGGTATCTGACAAAAACATAGTGTCAGGATCTATGTTATTCTCTGGGTCATAATCACTGAGTTCAGTGTCATCTTGTGAATTGATATGATAGGAAGTTGTATACATGTAGAATAGTTTGTTGTTACCTCAAGATGTCACAGTCTCGATTCATTCATATTTGGCTAGCTCCTCCATGCTTCTAACAGCCAACACCTTTGCTTCTTCCGGTGGCCCATTTAGCTTAATGAAGATTTTACAGTTCCTCACCCAAGTGCTCTGGACTTTGCCTTGCTTTCTCAGAATCCTGGCTTTGCGTGCTGTTTCCCCGTTCTTCCGTGTTAAGTGATCGTTCATGAAGACATTAGTCCCCTTTAGTTTTCGGCCTTGTTTTAGTAGCTCAATCTTTTTCTTCCTGTTCGCGAACCTCATAATTACCGCTGGCGGATCGCTGTCTCTCTTCCGCGGGATCGGGTGGCAGGCCTCGATGTCATCCACGTCCAGCTTTATTCCTCTGGACCGTAGGAGGGTCGCTACCTGATGTTCTATGGAGATCGTGTCCTGCTCATCTGGCTCTGCATCGGTGTTAGCCACCGCTTTGGCATAAGACCGGGGCTTGACTTTCAGGCCAGTCACGATAACATCGTTTACTCTGGAATACTGCTCCAGTTCATCCACCCTCCTTTCCAGGTCAGAGATTCTTTCTTCCTTTTTTGCATTTTGCCTTCGCAGCTCTTTGACTTCCTCCATCAAATGTAAAAGTTGTTTTTGTTGCTCTTTAATGGTGCTGGTTTCACCTGAGAGGAAGTCAAGTGACTTCATGATTTCTCCGATATCCTCAGTCATCGAGGTCTCTCTGGGTTGTTTATGCAGCTCTTTCATCGCGTTTAGCTCCTCTGTTAAGGAATCCAAGGACTTTTTAATTTCATCCATCTCTTTTTTAGGTGGCATAACTGGTAGTTACACACGGCGCCGGAAGTCGCCCTCTGTCTATTCCACAGTGCACACACACTCCTGTTGTGTAAACATCCCCTTGGCAATGACTTCATGAAGTATTCATACAGAGACCAAGTTCATTGGTCGCACGTCAGAGGCGCCTGTGCCATTGGATGTGCAGGTGCCGCAGCACAGCCTATGAGCGAGCCAGATCCTCAATGTGCTATGTGCAGCTGTAAATGCGTTTTACATATAAGCTTCAGTAAATCGAGGAAAAGGAGTTTCCCTGCACATTTACTATATAATTCACTGGAGGAAAAAGTTCACGTGGCCGTCGTCAGATTTGGAAGTCGCTCAAAAGGCTCTTTCGCGGTTGTGGCTTCAGTCGACTTCAGTGAGGCGCGGTGGTTTATGGGATGAGTAGTTCCTTCGCTCGGAAATGAAAATATGTACACAGTCTTGTACCTTTGACTTTTTTTGGATTTTCTCTTCGTTTTTTCACTCTAAATGATATGTTGTATGCTTATGAGTTCAGCCGTAGCTGGTTATCCTCAGACATGCTCTAAAACTCTTTAGATACGGATTTTCCAAAACGTCAATGGGAGAAATGAATGGGAAATTTACTTCCGGCACCAAAGCTCTCTCGGGCTGTGGGCGGGACTGTGAAGCTCTATGGCGGCCTGAATTCGCC